CCTCCCCTCGACCCAACACCGAGGGGTCGAAGCCCTTGCGTGGCTCGGCCCTATGCTTTTATCATGGGATTTTATTATATAGGACCGGGTCGGTACTATAACCCATATCATCCTCTAATCCAATCAATCAAGTGTATGCCTGCCTTGCTGATTTTGTAGTATTAATAATAACTCCATGTGCCAAGTACATATATGCATAAGTGATTTGCTATAAATCTTTTATCATGTCTCGATAGATTAGATAATAAGGCTAAAGAACAAAGATAGGCTGAGTTCTCTGGGAATGCATGATCAAAATTGTAATATAATAATACACTTTAGTGCCAACAAATTCGATGTCTTTGTTAGAAAGTTGCCAACTTTAGGTATATCATCATCCTATTCTTTCAAACAAATCATCTCTTTTGGTTGAGGCAAATAAAAAATTCTCTCGAAAGTTCAGAGTTGCATGAACGAGATTTGCAATTCTTGTGATGGTCTTAATATGTAACTAAATAATTCAGAAACAAATTGCCATAAAATAATTAATTAACTAACCATTGTGATCTCAATACAGGACCCCAACCGAAAAATTATATCTCACCTACATTATGAATTACATATGATGTAGCTCAAACAATAATTTTTATCCAACCATTCTTCCTATTCAACCATTAAAACCCATTTTCAAACCTAAAAGAATATTCTCTCTATTCAACCATTAAACTCATTCTCAAACCTAAAAGATGATTATCGTGACAAATGTCCGTTTTGAATGATGAGATTTCAGGGCGGCCTCACATCACCAATAATCTGGATTTGGGCATCATCTAAAATAAATAGTTGGACCCATACCATCTGACCCGACCCTTTATTATCGGGCATGTTTAATTATCATCACGCCCATAACTTGGCTGTGAATTCCAAATGTGAATATAGCTATAGCTAATGAGTCGGCATCAGCAGCAGCAAAACAATGTTTAACGACAAAGCAAGCATAGCACAGCACAGGACAGCTACTTTTAACCGAAACAATTTTTGCTCCTCTTGAATATTATTAGTCCAAGTGCAACATTTAAAATTTACATGTACCTATTTTATTAATTTCTCTGTGAAAAACTGCACACACATACACCAACCCATCATCACCACTAACCCATTTCCTATATAAAAACCACTTTCCCCTTCACGTCTTAAACCAAAAACACCCAATGTTAACCTCCTGAAGAAAACCAACTTATCATCATCAGCCCAAAAAAATAAAAAATTAAAAAAAAAAATGATGAAGCCAATTTCCATTTTCTTCCTCTCAATCCTGATCATCATCATCATCCAAGCTGCTTCCAGTTCCAGCCAAACCTTAATCAACTCGACCTGCAAAACTGCGGCAAACGACGACCCGAACATCAGCTACAGCTTCTGCACAACATCTCTTCAGGCAGCCCCGGCCAGCCGGTGCGCCACCCTCAAAGGCCTCGGCACAATTTCCATCCGCTTAATCCGCTACAACATAACCGACACGCGCTGCCACATCAGACAGCTTTTGAAGAACAGCAAGAAACTCGACCCTTATGTCAAGCAGTGTCTTGACGATTGCTTCGAACTCTATTCGGATGCTATACCTTCGGTCAAAGAAGCCATGAGACTGTACAACCAAAACAAGTTTGACGATGCCGCCACACAAATAAGTTCGATTATGACCGACTCGACTACTTGTGAAGAAGGGTTTGCGGAAAGAAAAGGGGTGGTTTCGCCTCTCACGAGTAGGAATGGCTATGCCTTCGAGCTCTCGGCTATGGCGCTTTCTGTTATGCGCATTGTGCAGACGGGTTCTGGATGATTGTGTTTTTCATGTGTGGTTATCTATCATATTGTGTTTTTACTGTTTCTTTGTGTTCTTCCAAATCTTTAAGTTATGCTTATTATTTATCTTTGTTGTTAGGGTTGATTACAGAAACTGGCCCTGAGCTTAACTACAAAAGATGGTTAAAAAAGAAAGAAAGGGAAAAAAAAAAAAGGCCTGAGTTGTCTTTCCAAGAGGGTTTTGTACTTTGAAAACAGTTGAGTTGGTTGTAGTTAGGCTTAACTTTGGGGTAATAAGTATTGTAGTTAACCCTTGCTGTTATGCAGTATATATTTGTATGTGGCTCGACAACTCAATAAACTATTTATATATGTACCTATTTGAATGGAAAACAGGGTTCAAATCCTAATTCACAAGCAATTTCATTGTACTGAGTGACTTCTACTTAATGTATTGTTTTCTGACTTTTGCACACATGGAAAGATTATAGTCTGTTTTGCTGTGAGTATTGTACAAAGATTATTTTAGATGCTGTGCTATTGTAAACATCAAATCAACTCCATCAAAACCTAGCTTCATATATAAAGACTAATTATAACTAGTTGATTTTACCATGTAACAGAAATAGGTCTGCTCAAGAAATAAATGCCTGCGGTATGAGATTCTTTACTAGAAACTTCAGAATAAAAAAAAAAAATCATATCAAGAATATGTTTAGGAGATTAGCTTCTAACAAGTCGATAATGAAAGTAAACCCTGCGAGTGGCAAATAATCATCCAACAATATAAGAACATCATGCACTCAGCAAAAACTCTGCAAGTACAAACAGTACAAATTATTGAACTCCAGTTTAGGAATGTATGTTTTACCGAACGAGGCCAAATTATTCCCCATTTGGAGCCATATCTCTGCAACATCCCAAGTTCATGCCAAACAGGACACACCATCTAATTAGAACAAATGAGATAAAAACCCACCCAAAACAGAACAAAAAGCCATGCGTAACTTCTTAGCTAGACATGGGATGGTTGTAGATATATTCTATCGCGAGCGGACACGAGTCGATTTTGTCAGCCTCCTTATCAGGGATTTCCAGCTTAAACTCTTCCTCAAGAGCCATCACAATCTCCACCGTGTCTAAGCTATCCAACCCCAGATCCTTCTGGAAATGAACATCCGGCGCCACCTGTGCACAATACAATATTAAAGAAAGATCATGAGATTCGGTCTTCAATCCTCACTCTTAGGAATTGGATCCAAACAAGCGCTTAAAAGGTCATTCCTTGTCATTCCTTACTGACTAGTTCGTTTCAGTGATTAGACAGCTTATACACACCGGAGTGACTAACTGAAAGATGATTAATGGTCATAAGAATGAACACAGAAAAGGGTTTTACAAATATCTACGGTAATGCGTGGTACCAGCCTTGTAGAATTCATTGTTACGATGAACCTAGTGCATAATTCCATAAACAGGACACAACATTCAGGGGCATTTTCATTTAAACATGTTTACCACAAAGGAAACCTCATCTTACACTAAAAGTGCATTTAACTTAGTATAGAAATTGCAGATTTCCATGGTTGCACTCAGCAAGGAATAGCAGTACTATCAGTATTGTCGTTTAAACTGAAGAAGAACACTACAAATATTCATTTTATCATGTTTATAAAGCATTTCATTGGATCGTTTTCTTGCTACTAAAATGCAGGAGTTCACCCCACCTCATGTAAATCTAGTCTAGTGTAATAAAGCACATAACTTTAGCATTTCATCCAAATGGGTATTTCAATAACGACCTCAGGAATCTAACCAAGGTCGAGAAAAATTTGTCAAAATTCACGCAAAAATTAAAATTTTCCCCTTTTTGCTGCCAGTACCCTAAAATTCTCCATGATTGTCACCTTTACATGACTAGACATTCGAGGTGAAGCTTCTTAATTCCTCGAGACAAACACAATCAACATTCAAATTCACAGGAATTAGGAAAATACAGTGCTTTGTGTGAATTTTGGGAAAACAGAAAACTTTAAAAAGAAAATTGAAATCAATAGGGAAAAAAAGGGGGGATACCTTGGATGGGTCGACTTTGGGGTAGCTCTTGATGACATCGAGAACCCGATTCACCACCTCCTGTTTGTCGAGGTGATCGTCTCCGTGCGATGACATTGACCGAAAGACGAGCAAACTGGATCCGTTTAGGTTCAGAGACCCCGATGCCGGAACCCGAATGTGGCGGAGAATGCTGGATCTCAACGCCGACGCCATTTTACAGGAGCAAAATGGAATTTTGATCTCTTTTACCTCTCTGTAGACTAGCAATATGTTATGAGACCAGGGCAAATTGTGGAATTGGTAAAGCAGGAGACGATGAGGTTGATATCAAAGAAGAAGGGAAAGTACAGACGGCCCAGAGGACCACATATTTTTTGGCTAGTGATATTGGGCTAGTGTTATGCTGGTTATTGGGCCAATATACTAAAATTCTTGCTTTCAATTAACAGGATAGCATGGGCTTTCTTAGTCCATTTTATACTAGTAGTCTAGTCCACTTAGGGTCAGTTTTGTTGCAATAATAGATTGAGCATGATGTTAATGTTTAAAATTGACCAACAAAGTGTTTGAATTGTACACTAGAATGTATACTCGGTTCAGTCTGCACGAGTAGAGATTAATAAGGAGTTCGATTCCAAGAGTGGACCATTATATAATATTAAATGAGAACATTTACTCATTTTATTTAATGTTGCCTCTTGGTCCTTTTATAGGAGATGTGAGGACTTATTACAATTCTTTTTTGGGATTTCTATTTTTTATTTTCGTTTATAAGATATTTTTTTGATATTAGTCATTCAGCATTTAATGCAATATAACCACCTTTTCTACCCATTATTTGAAGAAAAAAAATGAAATATAGCCACATTTTCTAAAAGAATAAAATATAATCACACAATTCTACTCTTATAATTGTTTTTTTATTAACTAAAAAAAAAAGAAAAAAAAAAAGAAAAAGAGTCGTCATCACTTCTTCCACGGCCAACAACAATTAACACATCTCCACAAACTCCTCCCTTTCTCTCTCTTCGGAGGAGGCAACGGCAAGCAGTGGTAGGAACCGATTCGGAGAAAGAAATCTCAGGTAAATTATCGTTAATTAGGGGATTTTCGAGTTTGCTTAAAAGTAAACGCGATGGAGGTTTTTGGGGTCGATGGAATTTAAAAGAAAACCACGATTAACCTTTATCAACTCGAAGCCACGATTAACCTCTCCTCTTCTATTCCTCTCCCGGGCCGGAATATCTGCAATTACCGCTACAATTTGGCTGCCGACTGGATTGGATTGGATTGGATTGGATTGGATTGGTGGCGTGCAATAAGTAAATTATTTTATTTTCCTTTTCAATCGATACTGTAATTTCTCACCTAACCAAACTCCACGCAAATCCGTCAAATTCTGAGTTCCTCTATTGGGCATCATCTTCATCGTCATGACAGGTATCATCTAACTTTACCTTATTCTTGTCTCTCTACTTTGATGCATAAGATTTTAAGTGGATTTTGCTCTGTTTGTTTCATGTCGGTGTAAAGATAGTTTTCTTTCTCAATGACTAGTTATATATTAGGTCAAGATCTCAATGGGGATTTCCATTGATTGGCAGGAATGCACAGGATGACAGTATGTCCATCGTGTAGTACTCTCATGCAAAATAAAAGACGACTAAACATTATTTGTTTAACTTCAATTAACTTATTAGTCTTTGCAGAGAGACTGAAAGTTATTGAAATTGCTTGTAATGCATATCAGATAATCAAATCCCGATTCTGGCAAAAGATGGGCCCTCGACTTATCAGCACCCGCTGCAGAAGCTCAAGCGTGTGCACTGGTGGATTCTGGTCGTCCTCAACATAACATTCCTTCTCGTGGGCCAAGCGGCTGCTGTCCTCTTGGGTAGATTTTATTACGACAAAGGTGGAAACAGTAAATGGATGGCCACTTTAGTCCAGACTGCCGCTTTCCCCGTTCTCCTCGTCCCCTACTTTTTCCTCCGTGACGAGCCTGAGCCTCCGTCGGCCCCACCTTCCTTGCTCATTTTAACTGCAATCTACATCGTGATTGGGGCTGTGGTTGCTGGTGACAACATGCTCTACTCTGTTGCCCTCTTATACCTCTCGGCCTCCACTTACTCTCTCATCTGTGCCACCCAGCTGGCCTTCAACGCCATCTTCTCCTTCTTCATCAACCGCCAGAAGTTCACTGCCCTCATATTCAACTCGGTGGTCATCCTCACTTTGTCGGCCGCACTTCTTGCCATCAACGAGGACTCGGACAGGCCTTTCGGGGTCACCACCCGCAAATACATAACTGGGATCATCACAGCCGTTGCTGCCAGTGCCCTCTATTCTCTCTTGCTGTCGGTAATGCAGCTGACATTCGAAAAGGTCCTCAAGAAGGAGACTTTCGGGGTCGTTCTTGAAATGCAGATGTACACTGCGGTTGTGGCGACATGTGTGGCGGTCGTGGGTCTGTTTGCGAGCGGGGAATGGAGGACTCTCAGGGGCGAAATGGGTAGTTTTACGAGCGGCAGGTTCTCGTACGTGATGACGCTCGTTTGCACGGCAGTGTCGTGGCAGGTCTGCTCGGTGGGGGTCGTGGGCTTGATCTTCGTGGTGTCGTCACTTTTCTCTAATGTCATTAGTACTCTCTCGCTGGCCGTGACGCCGATAGCATCGTTGGTCGTTTTCCATGATAACATGAATGGCGTGAAGATTGTTGCCATGTTGATGGCGTTTTGGGGATTTGCATCTTACGTTTATCAGAATTATCTTGACGATCTCGAGTTGAGAAAGAATACGAGGGGTGGTGATGGTGATGTTCCTTAATCATTCTTTCTTTTGCTTTGTAGTTACTGTTAAAGAATGTTGGATTTCATTGTTTTCTGTACTGTTCGGGTTTATTAGATTATTTTTGTCTCATGGCAGTAGGAGAGGTGATTCATAATTGAGACAGTTTGATTGTTAGTAATATTGTGATTTGTGATAGTTTGCTGCTCCTGGGATGTGTGGTTGGTTTTATGGATTATAAAACAAGTTCTGAGAATCTAACTGAGTGTACATGTTCTTACCTTTGTTTGATGAGTGTTGATCTGAAATCTATATTTATTCAGCTTTCCTTCCTTTGCATCAAAAGTTCAAACAAACAATTGGCAAGTGGAGTCCTGAATAATTGTTAACTGAGTGAGCGACGCAACCAAACTTACTTATTAAACTCGAGTTTATCGACTTGTTAACTGAGTGAACAATTATTAACTGTTCAAAAGTATTATTTTTGTCACCTGAAATACAATAATAATAATAATAATAATAATAATAATAATAATAATAATAATAATAATAATAATAATAATAAAAGTGGAATTCGTGTTCAAAATTAATTAGGATCCAAAATTACGCAAAGTGTCTGCAACTCATTCTCCAACACAGTGCCAAACTGGCAATGGCTAGCAAAAACAAAAACGTGCAGAATATTGGAAAGGAAAAACGTACAAACGCACCGTTAAAATACTACTCCATATGTGATGCACAGATTTCAGTTACTCGTCGTCGTGATTCAATGTTCCCAACGCTCGTCTCTCTATAAATAATACAGACAGACAATTTGTGCTGTGCTGTGCTGTGCTGCACTACCTCACAAGAATACGGTAAATCCCACCCAGATCTTAGTTTCTTTCATCTTTTCATTACGTGATTGATTCGAGCTGCTTTAATGTTATTGTGTTGGTCACTTGTCGATCTATATGGGATTCCGGTGTGTTTAGATTATTTGATCTGTGTGTGGAATCGAGAATCATGTTCCCATCTGTGTTTTGCGTTGTTTGATGATGCCCTTGTTTGCTTAACATGTCATGCAAAGACTTAAAAAATTTCTATTCGAATTCCATCTCCTAGCATTTTCTTTGTGAACGTGTCTAGTTTGATTACTGATGATGCAACTGCAGATCAAAATGACCTTGCCATTCTTTGTGTGCTCCACAAGCTGAATTGTTGAATATAAAGAAAGCTTATTATTTCATTCAAAAAGATTGAACCTTTTGTTTACAATCTATAATTCCATGGTTCTCTTAATAAGGAGAGTACCTCTTCACATATTAATTGCAGTCTTGAAATTCCATCTTTCTCATGTGGATCTGATATCAATAGCGTCAACTAGAATGTGTTTTGATCTGCATAATTTAGCAGAATGTTTCGAATTCATCCTTAGGTCAGATTTTGAAGGTTGCTCCTTCAGCTAATTTCAATCTCCATTTTTCCCTTTCATACTTGATACTGAACAAACGGAGTATTTTCATTTTACAATAGAAAAGGGGTAGTATCTAAATAAATAATCAACAATAAACCAACCCTTTCTCTCTTTATGCATCTATAAAGATAGTTTGTTCTCCCTTAAATCGTGTGTGCCTCGATTTGAATTAAATATAATTACTTTAAATATACTATTCTATATATTCTGATATGTAGTTTTTTTTTTCTATAAAAAAAAAAACGTGCGTCAACAGTCAATTGATATATTTCCTTTTGCAGATAATAATATCACAATCTCCACAGGCATTATGGGCACTGTTGTTGATGCTGTAAACAAGGCACTTTCTCTTAAGCTTGTTTATTTCTTTACTTGTTTCAATCTTGACTGGCACAATAGCAACTCTAAACCCTCCCCAGTCGTCATATAAGCCAGCATGTACTGAACTTGCTGGCATCATATGAAGCATGATAAGTTCAACCCATGACTAACATTTTACATAACACCTTTTGTACAGGAAGTCAATGGAAGCTCACACAAAGACAAGAAGGTGACTGTTGTTTTTGTTCTAGGTGAGTTCTTTGTCACTACTGGTTGCTTATGGAAGATTTTTTTAGAGTACATTTAGACCACTTACTTCTCTTGTTTCTGTCAATTAGAATATCTTGTTAGCTGCAAAAAAGTTACACTAAAAAGAGACTTATACTCCCCTCCCCTTCAGTCCTCTGGTAACTGTTACAAATAAATTGGACAGCTTTCTGACACTTTCCTTTCTGAATATGAGCAGGTGGGCCAGGCAGTGGTAAGGGCACTCAATGTGCAAATATTGTTGAAAATTTTGGTTATACTCATCTCAGTGCGGGTGATCTTCTCCGAGCCGAGATGAAATCTGGTTCTGAAAACGGGTATAATCTTATTATTGTGTGCACCACTACTCTGATAATTGTGTTCTCTTCGAAATTATGAAGATTTTTTTTTCTTTCTTTCTTAAAGTTAACTTTAGCTGTGATATATATGTAGGACCATGATTCAGAATATGATTAAGGATGGAAAAATTGTGCCTTCAGAGGTAACAATTAAGCTTCTCCAACGAGCAATAGAGGAAAAGGACAATGATAAGTTTCTCATTGACGGTTTTCCTCGCAATGAGGAAAACCGTGCAGCATTTGAGTCTGTAGTGAGTCTTATTTTTTTCCTCTCTCTCTCTGTGACATATCTCATAACATATGTCTGTATGAAATGCATATACGTGTGTTCTTTATATTTTAGAATTTAGACCGTTTTATTAAAAAATCCTATGCAGTGCTTTCTTTTGTCATGTTATTTTGTATACATGTTGATTATATTTTACTATTAACCCCTTTGTTGTGGTGATTTGATCATCGACTGATATACAGAATCCATGTAAGTTGACCTGCTCTGGTTTTTCTTTTTGTGTAGACTGGAATTGTGCCAGAATTTATACTCTTCTTTGATTGTCCAGAGGAGGAAATGGAGAGGCGTCTGTTAAGTAGGAACCAGGTGCATCACATTAAATATAATCCACATTTGTTTTCCTCTCGTTCTTCGTCTGGTTTTGGTATATATCTGTCCTTACTTATTCCTGTTATTAATTTATTGTGTGCATGTCTTTGTTTTCCTGTTTGCAGGGGAGAGAAGACGATAACATAGAGACAATAAGGAAGAGATTTAAGGTGTACATGGAGTCTACTCTCCCTGTTATTGAATATTACAATGCTAAAGGGAAGGTCCGCAAGGTAAATTTCTATCATCAGGCCCGACTTTTATCACGATTACTTCATCTGTTATAGAACAAGTATAATGACATTTAATTTTCCTTTATTATTTTTTCTTGTTTTGAATTTTCAATTTAGATAAATGCTGCAAAACCAGTTGAAGAAGTATTTGAGGCTGTAAAAGCAGTTTTCTCCTCACCCGTTGGCAAGGTAAATATAATTAGCAGTAATTTAATCGTCTTCAGATGAGACTATTGACACTCAGTTGAAGTATAGCTTTGGTATTCATCCTTTTTAGCTCTCTGGTTTCTGCAAAACATATTCTTGATTGTTTGTTACAGGCTGCTGCTTAATATGCTACTTGTCATATCGCACATTCTAGCCTAGGTAATATAATTTGTTAAATTGGTGTTAAATTAAGTGTCATGTTATTATCAACGTGTTTGTTAGCACCCTTTTATGATTTATTGGATCTTATATAACATTTTGAATACCCTGCTTTGAAATTTCATGCAGGTGGTTTCGTAATATACAATATACGTTGTTGGTTTCCTTCCCTATTGGAGTTGATGGGTTAACTTTAATGTTTTTCTTTTTGTTACTTTACTCGTTATATTGGTGAAATTTGATGGAAAGACTGAAAATTGTTGATTCGGTTTATATTGATAAACAAAGTTGTTTGATGGGAAAAATGCAGTTTTCTCATAGAGTTGTATCATTCCTTAAAATAATTAAGTGTGTAATGAAGAAGAGGAATTAAGTGTCACTTAATATAATTTGAATATATGAATAGGTGTATTTGAAGGAAGGAGCAATTATAATGAACAGTACAACTTTACTAGGTTGGATAAGGAATTGGGAGCCCATGAAATGTTAACTTCTCTTCAGCGTTGCCAGTATAATGAACTGGCCAATTGGTGACCAGACCAGACCAAATAAAGTACATTTGCCTTTGAGAATAATTAATCAGTATAAAAACGATATGACCAATGACGGAGGTGTATTGGGGCCACAGGCCCCCTCATTTTTTTTTTTTTTTTTTTTTTAGAAAATCAATATCATATACATATGTGTGTGAAAAAGAAAATACTATAAAATATATATAAAAAAATAAAAAAAAAAATTCACAATATATTAATAATTAAAATTTATTTTTATGGTGATTTAATTTAAATTAATAATAATATTTATTTATTGAAAAACGTACCAACAATTCTTATATTTTACATTTCAAGATTTGAAAATATTTATAGTGATTTTCGGTCTCTTAATTGTAAATTCATTTAGTGATTAATGAAGTTTAGTATATATTTGGATTGTTACATTTTTTAATGTTGGTTTTTACTACTTTTTTTTTTTTTTTCGTGTAATTGCATATTCTTAACTCAAGTTATTTTCTTCTTAAAAATATGTTAACTTGATAAGTTTTTATCAACAAAAACGTTATGCAATGTGCTTCAAAAGTTCAATTTAAATCAATTTTCAACAAAAAAAAGTATATTTTTCCATATATTATGGATGTTGAACTTAAATTATAAATATATAAAAACTCTCATATTTTTTTGTTTATAATTTTTTTAATAGTTTGATGGTGATACAAATTCTAAGTTTTTAAAAAATTTGATGGTACACATATCGATATTTATATTTATAGTAAATACATTTTTTTACATGAAATGAGTGTTTTGACTTAAACTACAAGCTCGTTGTAACATTTAAAGTCGGGCACCTCTGATTGAAATTCCTAAATTCAGTCGGCACTGGATATGACCATGGATAACTGTCACCTTTTAAACTCAATGGGTATGTCAAAGCTCAAACCCAGTTGAGCAACATCAATATTTCCAATATATTAAGTTATAAAAGGAAAATTAAAAAATATAAAATAAAAGAAAGAAAAGGAAATATGTAACAAAATGAAAATGAGACGCAAGTCTCTTGCATTTAGTGACCGTTTTGCGTTAAATGGATAGGGTACCCGGTGAATGGTGAGTTTTTATATTGTATTTATGGGTTCCCACTCCAAACTCACTGTAGCAATTTAGGCAATCCAATTAAATTTTCACATTGCTCTAAGATTTGAAAGCGATGAATAGTTGCAGAGACTCGCTTCAACTATTTCGTATGCACATTCTCCACATGAAGAAATAAAAGACGGCATGAAATCTGCCGGTCATCTAATACCAGCCATACTCCAGTATAACGTGCAAAACTATCATTGCACGAGGACAGTCAACAAAAGAACAACATACAACATTTATTTCGCAGCTCTCAAAATTACATGGATACCATCAAAAATGAAATGAGATGGCCAACAAAAACAAAAACAAAAGCATGCACTGAATCCAACAAATTGGAAATCGGCAGTACAAACGCAATACATGATAATTGATTAGGTAGTAATGTATGGAGCTGGTAAGAATGGGAATGGTGCAACGGAGGCATATGCTACTGGTGGTCGGGTTGGGATTGTGTTTTTCAGAGGGTGGAAGGAAGATGAAGAAGAAGAAGAAGAAGAAGAAGAAGAAGAAGAAGAAGAAGAAGAAGAAGAAGAAGAAGAAGAAGAAGAAGAAGAAGGATCATCTCCATCTCCTTGTGTTTCCTCGGGAAGATGATGAAGTACAAGTCCACCCATAAACACAGGAAGATAAAGGAGGCTCGCATGGAACATTCTCCTTGCATTTTTTATTGAACGGTTTCGAAAAAATGATGTTGCAGTCCAACTGATTGCAAGAGCAAGCGCTGTGGACTCAGCAAAGAACCACCCCGAAGTGATACCCCCTGCACATAATAATTATCGACACACCATCTGTAAATGAAACATCACACATATATATTATATCTAAACAAACTAAACAAAACTGTAACAATGGTCTCACTCACAGTCATAAGCCAGATACCCCAATGGAAGCAGATAAAGACAGTTCCTCAGAGAGACCAGGGCTGTTCTACGACCACAAGAATCAGCAAGTGAAAACATCTTGAACCTAACATTGAAAACGAAAAAACAAGAGTTCGTTTATATAGGACACAAAACTATTTTAAGATATCAATCTACCACCAATTTAGTCACACCGAAATTAACAATTGGTAACACATACCCTCCATCTGCATAATCTTTGCGGCATAAGTAAGCAAGAGCCATAAAATGAGGTATTTGCCAAAAATATAAAGCAGCAGGAAGTATCATCCCATTAAGGGAGATCTTCCCCGAAGCTGCAACCCACCTTTTGAAACAAAAATTACAACTTGTCATTAAAATTGATTATTGATAATATTATTCATCAACATCACATGATACATACACACGGACACTCCCTCGTACTAAACTTGCAATAAGACACTCAGCTTGTAAATCATTCTCATGCAGATATTAGTGTACAACAATTTTACCAGAAACAAGAAATGGAAAAGAAAGAACACTGATTTGAACGAAGCTCACTCTATAAAAGGATCCATGTGCGGCACTACCATCTGAGTTCAAAACTGCATAATGCGAAACTTGGCATTCATTAGGGCATGATATTTTCCCCCCCAAAAGCCATACAAGAGTATAAATAACCAAAATATGCTGCATAACGGAAAAGCTGAAATGACGACGGATGCCTTTGACAATGTTGCTTAATTGCTTGTAAAGGGTGTAAATTGCAACATAATCAGGCCACTCTAATCTAACCAAACGCTCAACTATCAAAATGGCTGCCCCACTTGTTCTATGTTACGCTCATTCTCAGCATTGAATAAGATAAAAATATAAAAACATTCTCTTAATTCTGCAATGAAAGTTTACAGCCAACATTTGAAGAGGGTATAGGCTCTTTTTCTATCCTTCTATTTTCAGTTTAAAAGGATAGGCATCTTGAACTGTCTCAAAATATTGAAAAGTAAAAAATGCAGAATTTCAACACAGTATGATTGTATTTAGTACAAGCTACATGAACGGAGCAAATATGCAAGAACTCAATCTAAATACATTTTTCAATCTGTGGACTTTGTATTGCATCAAAATATCTTCAGTCCTTAAGCATGAAAAAATCCAAAATGATTTCAAGAGATTGAGCCTTGTAAGAACATATCATCCAAACATAAAAAACTCTACTATCTAGCAAAAACAGTAACTACTAAACCAACAATGAAAACCCTTGTCCACGATTTATGCCTTGTTTCATATGATTTACATTATACAGAAACAAATTTATGAACTTACCAGGGATGCTTATTCCATTGTTTAAACTATGCAACTAGTAGGTAAGAGACAAGATAAAATGTAGATAAAAAGTACTTGTGAATCAAGCACCAAGCCACTGTCATTACCATCTAATCAATCTATCTATTTATCGAAGGAAGGAAATAAACAAATTTGGATACTCTATAGATGAGAAGTTCTCCATAATAATCTACATGAAATTCTACTACAAAAAATAAACAATTTACCCAAGAAGAGGTGGGATTGCACCGACTATAGCTCCAACCCAAGTGTTTACTGGATGAATCTGCTTCAAAGGAGTATAAACAAATGCATAAAGCACAAGATTAGATGCTGCAAGGCCAGCCGCCAGCATATTAACCTGCCACAGGAAATTCCAAAATCAATCCCTTAGCTATAACATTTGAACAATGTTAAGGATTGACATCCTTATAGAAATATCAAACATAAGAGTCCATAACCACCTTGCAAGCCAAAAGAGCAGTGCCGCCTACACCCATTGAAGCAGCCCAGGCAACTGCGTGCGGTATAGTAATACGTCCTGAGGGCAGTGGTCTGTGTCTCGTTCTATTCATTATCGCATCGTTTTTCACCTCAAACACCTATGTCATTGGAAAGTGCAAAGCTAAGTTTGCGCCAAATGAAGGTAAAAACCAAGCACCAATTATAGTGCTACTAGACACTTTACGAGGAAGAAGGTTATACAAAACTAGCCACTATTCTTTTGCGGCTTGATATTTAAGAATTATTTAAATAAGAACTTATGCCTTCTCCTTTATTTATTTGTCTTCCAGACTAATTAACCAAAGATAAAATAAAACGGTAGTAACAATAAATAACCAAAAACCAAAATGCCTTCAGGATCATGTTGACTATAGAAACTTGATATGGCATAATGTGTTTCAAGCTTATTCACTCAGCCACATACTTAATATTCTAAATTTTCCACAAAGTATATCTGCATTAAAAGAATGAAAAACAAGAATGCAGAAGACCTGGTTCAACGAGTTAGCAGAAGCTGCAACCATCATGGTGCCAGCACAAGTGCAGCAAAGGCCAAGATAGTCTATGGAACCACCACTCCCAAGTATATATCCAGTACCAGATGTAGCAACCACTAGCATACTAGAGATAAACATTGAAAGGATGAGAAAAACAAACACAGCAGTGTAATTCTTCACTCCTCTACTTATCCGTAGATTTTGACGGATTTAGTAAAAGAAATAATCAGAATTATACGTAAGCTACCAGTAGAATACTTCAATCAGGAATTTTCCATATTGGGTAAGACATGGCATACAAAAACCGTTGAGTCTTCAACACAAAAAAGTAAACCGAAATATGACTTTTATCTATGTTAATCTCGACAATTACAGATAATTTCCATGATTGAATTAGTGGTATCGACGAATAGCCTTGGTAGGGACAGAACTTAAAAAGGATGTGAAACAATTAAACTTAAGAGAACCTGAGGCGAGCTTTGGAAAGCTCCCAATAACATCGACCATAGTGCTTAGCCAAGTCCGCTACCTCGTTGGCCTTAAAAGCAGATGCAGCAGCCAACCGCGGAAAAACAATGGCGCTAGCAGAAGTTGGAAGAGGCCCGGATTGGGACCATTTTAGGGGAGCTGTGGCTAATGTAGACTCCGGGCCGGAGAAATTGGATCGAGCGAGGAGACCGTGGCAACTAGCAGGTTTAGGGGAACTTCTGAAGAGGTAAAGTAGAGAGGAGCTGGAGTTAGAGTAGGCAAGTTTGGATGAGAGACTGAGTGAGTTTCTTCTCCACATGGCTGGTTAGGTCAGCTTTCTGATTTATATACCTGTTGGATAGGAATCAGTTCACATATATGCAAGAAGATGATTTACAATCTCTAGCCATATTTCTCAGGATTCAAAATTTGAATCCAAGCAAATTACCTACTTAGAACTCTTATCAAACCGCCGGCCATATTCTCACCAGCGGCTAGAGTTCTCCGACTCAAAAACACCAACTGCCCTATTTCAGCAAAACATAGAAAAATCACAATATTAATCTGCGCCTACCTTTTTCAACTCAAAGCCCCGATTAACCTCTCCTCTGCTATTTCTCTCCCGGAATTTCCAAACCTGTACACATCAAAATGAGATTTTTAAATGAAGCTAGAATTTTATTTCCGAAAATACTTCGAATTTCAGTTCAGCTGAATTCTCCACACTCACCGCCGCTGGGACGCCTTTGGTCTGGCCTCTGTGTGTGTGGGTGTGCGTTCGGGCCTGGGAATGTTTTTTCTGTGCTCCGTCTCCCGAGAGCATAGAGAAATTTGAGAACGTTACAGTTATCTGTGGTAGCTTTTGTGAGATTTTTTGTGAGCGGTCTATGGGCAAGAGATTAGATTAACCCAAAAAAAAAAAATTATACTTTGCTTTCACTTCACTTTCGTATCTGTACCACAAAAATGAACTACATATGGTGCC